ATATTCTCTGAGTGGGGAAAACCTTTCCAAGTCATAAAGAAGCCATTAAAGGAAGGACTGTGAATTTAACTACATAAAAATAGAAAATGTACAGGGTGCCTGGGTGGCTCAGTCAGTTGGGCACCCAACTCTGGATCTTGGCTCAGGTCAAGATCTCAGGATTCGTGAGATGGAGATGCGACATGCGACGTGGATCCCTGCATTGATTGGGCTCTGTGCTGAAAGCTTGCTTGGGTTTCTGTCTCTCCCTCTCTCTTCCCCTCCCCCACTCAAACCCTCTCCCTTTCTCTCTCTCAAAATAAACAAACTTTAAAAAATGTTTAAAAAGAAAAGAAAATGTCTGCATGCACAAAGGAAAAATCATAAAACAGGAGCACTGAGTGTGGAGTCGGAAGACCCAGAAAGTCAGAATTTCAGTTCAGCTGTGCGGACTTCTAAGCTGTGCTTAGCTGTTTTTTTCTTTGTAATGGGGAAGAGTCTCGCCCACAAGTTTGACATGAAGATCCAATGCGAATGCATATAGAACCTTTTGCCATCTGAGCTGAGTTATATGCATTTGTGGTAGTGTTTTAGGAAGAGGAGGCTTCCAGGTGACTCCTGTAACCTGGAATGGGAGTGGGTCAGCCAGTGATCAGTCAGTACCTCTGTGGTTAGGAGCCTCTTCCGTTTAAGACTTTAGGGAAGGTATCCATTATTCTCCAGGGGAGGAGCCCTCCTTGAGACCTGGCTGGTCTGGCTATCAGTGAGGCATTTTCCCTACAGTGAGACCACCCCTACAGCACCATAGGCCCCTTCACCTCCAAATAACTTTCCCCAACCACCTGCTTCTGGTGTCTCCAAGTCCAGCTTGGAGAGTCACACTTTATGTAGCGATATCTTAACTAAGAAAATACAAATTGTCCTTGAAGTAATACGTTAAGATGTTAGGTCTTGTGAGTTATTTGAGTGATACGAGCATTTTGGCCAAGAGCAAGTAGAGCATGTGTCATTGGTGTATGGGAGGTCTGCCGGTCTGTGTGTGTCAAGTCTGAATTCTAGTCCCAGTTCTGGCATTTGACTTCCTGTCCATACTTGGAGAAGCCAACCTTTCTTCTTGGGCCTCTTTTTTCCCCTCTGAACTAGCAAGTGGTTAGACTAAATGCTCTAGTTTGATTTGTTAGTTCATTCATTCATTTTACAAATGTGTGTTAAGTGTGTACTATGTGCTGGGTCCTTTTGTAATTGCTTGGGACGTGGCAGTAGACAAAATGGACAAAAGGCTCTGCTCTTGTGGAACTTACATGTTAGTGGGAGGGTACCATCAATAAATAAGAAATATAATCACTAACTAAATCATACAATATTGGATTATAAATATTTTATATATACATTATAAATGTCTTAGGAAAATAAAAATAGATGAAGGGATATTCAGAATGTGTGTAGTTGTTGGGATTTAAAAGGCTCCACTGAGAAGGTGACATTTGAACAGAGATTTGAAGGCAAAGGAAGAGTTAGCCAACTGGCTATCTTAGGAAAGAACATTCCAGATGGAGGAAACGACCAGTGAAAAGGCCCTGAGGCAGGAGTATGCTTGACAAGTATGAGAAACGCAATAATGAGAGCAGAGAGGTAACATCACGGACAGTAGGAATATATCATAGTAGGCCTTATAGGCCCTTGCAAAATCTTTGGATTTTAATCTGCATGAGATGAAGAGCTGTTGGAGGGTTTTATTCCTCTGTTTAAATATTTTATTTTTAGAGCAGTTTGAAAGTCCACAGCATATTTAAGCAGAAGATTGGGAGATTTCTCATATGCCACTGTTCCCCCACATGCATCGTCTCCCCCATTATTCACACCCCCCCCCAGCAGAGTGATACATCTGTTACAGTGACACATCCCCACCCAGAGTCTCTAGTTTACACTAGGGTTCACTCTTGATATTGCTCATTTTATGGTTTGGGGCACATATATAATGACATGTATCCACCATTCTAGTATCACACTCAGTATGTTCACTGGCCTAAAGATCCTCTGCACTGTTGGGAGGGTTTTGAGTGAAGCAACGTTGTGTGATGTTCATTTTTGGAATTCTGAGATCTTACTACATTTGAGGAAAGAGGGAACAGGGCTCAAAAACCAAGACTGTTGCCTATTCTGTCTTCAGGGATCCTGCTGGTCCCCAGGCTGGTGTAAAGGTCCCCCCGCTTTCTCCTGGTCTCTGCTTCTGCACACACCTTATCTTGGTTGGGAGACTAAGGCTATAGAATCCCATTATTCCTCTAGGGGGCGATGCTGCCTCACACACAGGACACCTCCCTGTTTTCACCCATTTCCAGAACCACAAACCCTTTCCCTGGGACCTTGTCGGTGAAATCACTCAGGAATAGAGAAAATTGGAGGCCCCCCCCCACCTTCCCATCATCAGGGGCACCCTCCAGCCTGCTCACCTTCTCTGGCAAATCCTCCCTGCTGTGTCAGGACTGTCAGGAAGCCCTGCAGTGAGGCTGGCCCACAGGCCTGTGCCTCAGTACTCTCATCTTGCCATTTCTGGGAGGCGATGAGTGTGAAGAACAAAGAACTGGGGCCTTCTTTCATTCGTTATGCTTCTCTGTACTTGTCCTTCAAGTCTAGATTGATACTCATTTTAATCACTTAAGCATTTTGATGATGCTCACTCATGAGTACAAACTGAGGGCAGGGAGAAGAAAGGGTCACACACACGTTCGGGTCCTACCCCCTCCACGGCAGCACCAGGCATTGTCTGCTGCTGCCTCAGGCAGAGTCCCAGCTCTCCCGTGTTTTCGGAAAATGATGGCACCTGCCTCTCCTCCTGGAGTTGAACACCGTCTACAAAAAATGTACCATCTTCACTTCCTCTTCTTCCCTCCTTATCTCTCACATCTGTCACCTAAAACTGTCCATTTTATTTCACATAATGTTACAAATGCACTGGTCCCCCTTTTATGCACACCTTCACTGACGTTGTATATCTCCAAGGTAGCAAATATGAAAAGCCAGAAGAGTCAAATGGGTGATATAAGGGGCGCCTGGGTGGCTCATTCAGTTAAACGTCTGACTTTGGCTCAGGTCATGATCTCATGGTTTGTGGGTTCGAGCCCCGCGTCAGGCTCTGTACTGACAGCTAGTTCAGAGCCTGGAGCCTGCTTTGGATTCTGTATCTCCCTCTCTCTCTGACCCTTCCTTGCTCATGCTGTCTCTGTCTCTGTCTCTCTCTCTCAGAAATAAATAAAACATTAAAAAAAATTTTTTTAAATGGGTGATATAACTGGATGAAGAGGGCCAGTGTGTGAGGCAAGAGGGAGGCGTGGAGACTGTGATGAACTAGAAAGAATATTAGTGAAACCTGAGTAACTGTTTCTGAGCTCCAGTCCAGTGCAGTCACATACAAAGGCAATTCCAAGTGGTACAAGTTTTGAAAAGCCAGAAATCTGTTGCTGCTTTTGTTGTTTGCAGAAAGGAGAGAGCGCAAGTAGGGGAGGGGCAGAAAGAGAGGGAGACACAAAATCTGAAGGAGGCTCCAGGCTCTGAGCCGTCTTCACAGAGTCTAACGTGGGGCTCGAACCCACAAATGGGGAGACCATGACCTGAGCCGAAGTCAGATGCTTAACCAACTGGGCCACCCCAGTGCCCCTGTTTGTTGTTTTTAAGGTGAAATCTACCAAGTTAATATTGGCAACAAATTTTTTTAAAATTTTTTAAATGTTTTATTTATTCTTGAGAGAGAGAGATAGAGACAGCATGAGCAGGGGAGGGTCAGAGAGAGGGAGACACAGAATCTGAAGCAGGCTCCAGGCTCTGAGCTAGCTGTCAGCACAGAGCCCGACACGGGGCTCGAACCCACGAACCGTAAGATCATGACCTGAGCTGAAGTTGGACGCTTAACTGACTGAGCCACCCAGGCGCTCCTATAGAAGAATTATTTTTTTAAAAAATTAGTGTAAAAAAGGGGAAAAAAAACCCCACTATTGTCAACAAAAACTTCCTGGATTAAACAACACGTGGGACATAGCTGAGAACAGAATATGTTAGCTGGAAGCTAATTTGAGCAAACAAACTAGAATGCAGTTTGGAGAAATACAGAGATGGNGAGATCATGACCTGAGCCGAAATCGGATGCCTAACCGACTGAGCTACCCAGGTGCCCCTAATGTTTTTTTTTTTGTTTTTTTTTTTAAGTTTAAAACAGTAAGTAAACCACCACAAGGGGCAAACAGTTAACACATCAGTGGTCTGAATTCAGCATGCAGCGGCCGAGTTGTGACCACTGGTTTGAACCATCATCCCAGCTAAGGCTATTGATACGATTTCTTCTTTGGTCTCTGGCCTCCAGTCTCTCTCTCTTCCATGCACCGTGCTCACAGCATCTGGAGCACCCCCCCACCCCCACCCCGTCACCAGGTCACACTGGCTCATTCCACCGCCTGCCTCCCTTAGGTCTGTCCCCCCAGGTTATCCAGGACACTAAGTCCAGACAACTGAGGACGACTGCCAGACTTCTCCCTTTCCGCTACCAGGACCTCTCCACTCTCCACCGTGCTCTCCCCTGGCACACATCACTCCTTTGTCACCTGCCAAGGCTTCCCCGTTCACCTCTATTCAGCCCCTTGCGATTTCTATTCATGCGTGTCTCCTGCACTAGATTATGATGGTGACCACCTCTTACCCATCTGTGCTATTCGTCTGTGTTATTCATACCTGCGATCAGAAGGTAGCTGGCAAATTTTTTTTTAAATGTTTTTATTTATTTCTAGGAGAGAGAGAGAGAGAGACAGCGTGAGCAGGGGAGGGTCAGAGAGAGAGGGAGTCACAGACTGAAACAGGCTCCAGGCTCTGAGCTGGCAGTCAGCACAGAGCCCAACGCGGGGCTTGAACCCATGAACCGTGAGATCATGACCTAAGCGAAAGACGCTTAACCGACTAAGCCACCCAGGCGCCCCACTGGCAAATTTTTTTAATAAATTAAAAAGACGAATGAATGATGACTGTTAGCCAAGTAAGGTAGAACTGTCTTAAGGTTATTTATTTCCCACCCCATTTACACATAACTAAGAGCCGAGCATCCTCTTAATAAAGACAGTTTTCTTCTTTCCTCTCATTGGTCCCAGCCCCCAGGGTGCAGAGGTGTTGAAGACCAGCGCTCTGGGGCCCGGGGTGAGCCGGCCCTCTGTCCTCGCCTGATGTTCTTATGGGCAGGTCCCTGGGGCTTCCTTAATCCTCTTTCTCTTGAGTTTTGTTTTGTGCGGAGGTTTCCTTAGAGGATCTGAAAAGGGAAGGTCAAACACAGTCCTGATAACACCACAAAGAGTAAGAGAATCTCAGTCTGTAACATTTGGGTGATATGGTAAGAACAGAAAGGAAGAAAAACACAATCTTATCTTAACTTGCAACCTATGTCCCTCTTTTTTCACAGAACCCTGCAGGCCATAGGAAGATGCTATGATTGACCTGATTTACAGATGAAGGATCTCACCCGCCTCTGAGTAAGGAAATAGCCCACCCAAAGCCCAAGGCAAGTTAGGGGCACAGTCAGGACTAGACCACGGGTCTTGACTCAGATTCTTCCCTGCACCCTCTCCGGTTTCATGCCCCAGGTCCTAGGACTTTGCCGCCAGACTGTTTGCAAACACCACTGCCATCTGTTTTCTTAAAAACAGACTTAGGAACATAGAGCCAAAGAAACGCCACACCGGATACATTCAAAATCACGAATGGACTCCGTGATTGAGCTTAGCCCATTCCTGGCGGGTCCACCAAATAGTGTGTGTTTTGTCGTATTACCACAATGTGAAGAACACGACCTCATCTCTAATGTATCCCGGCCAGACAAATGTTTAACAAGAATTTATCAAGGCTTTTTATCTAAAGAGGAACAAGCTTCAAGAATGCCAAAAGGAAGCAACCAGACTCAAAAGTGGAGCATTCCGCAGAACAGTGGTCTGATCTTCTCAACAAGTCAGGGTGTAAAACAGAGGACATTGTTAGGTTAAAGGAGATGGAGAGACATAACCCGGTGCAATGCATGCTTGAGAAAAAAGTGCAAAAACTACCTTTGACTACTGGGAAAATTAGAATATGGAGCATTTACTCCAACAATGAGAAGTAATGAAAACGTTGACATGGAAAGTTGAATTAATTAACTGAAAAAAGCAACTTCCAGTCAAAATCCTATGCACAGTGAGGTCTCATTTGGCTACAATACATGTATTTATATGCATAAAAAAACACCTGGAAAGTGTTAGCAGTAATGATAACAATGTGGTGTTTATATGTACTTATTTTTGTTTATCAGTATTACCTAATTTTCTATGCTATGCTTATGTTTATAGGAATAAAATGTTATTTTAAGAATTATATTTAGGGGCGCCTGGGTGGCTCACTCAGTTAAGCGTCCGACTTCGGCTCAGGTCATGTTCACACGGTTCATGGGTTCGAGCCCTGTGTCGGGCTCTCTGCTGACGGCTCAGAGCCTGGAGCCTGTTTCATATTCTGTATCTCCCTCTCTCTGCTCCCCTCCCCACCCCCCATCACGGTGTCTCTCTCTCTCAGAAATAAAAATAAATAAATAAATAATAAATTTTAAAAATCATTAAAATAAAAGAATTACATTTTTAAAAATTACATGAAAGCCAAAGTTCTTAACCCACCATTCAAGGCTTTTTCCTATTACCCCTGTCCGGCACTTCTCCAACCTGCTCTTCCATTCACCTCCAGGCCCCAGACTGTCAGCTCATTGTCCCTCACCTCTGCGTACACCTTTCTTCTCCCCTCCTACTCTCCCTTTCCCCCTCTTCTCCTTTTCCCTTTCTTTAAAGGCTGTCACAGAGTGACTTCTCCCAGTCAGCTTGTCCCACTCTTTGCCCTATGGCTTTGGATTGCTCATTTGTGAAAGGGGAATAATAACACCCCCTTCATGATAAAGGGTTAATATCCAGAATCTATAAGGAACTCACCAAACTCCACGCCCGAAAAACAAACAACCCAGTGAAGAAATGGGCAGAAGATATGAAAAGACACTTCTCCAAAGAGGACATCCAGATGGCCAACAGACACATGAAACGATGCTCAGCATCCCTCCTCATCAGGGAAATACAAATCAAAGCCACACTGAGATACCACCTCACGCCAGTCAGAGTGGCTAAAATGAGCCAATCAGAGAACTCTAGATGCTGGCGAGGATGTGGAGAAACGGGCACCCTCCTACACTGTTGGTGGGAATGTAAACTGGTACAGCCCCTCTGGAAAACAGTGTGGAGGTTCCTCAGGAAACTAACAATAGAACTCCCTTATGACCCAGCAATAGCACTGCTAGGAATTTACCCAAGGGATACAGAAATGCTGAGGCATAGGAGCACATGTACCCCAATGTTCATAGCAGCACTCTCCACAATAGCTAAAACATGGAAAGAGCCTAAGTGTCCATCAACAGATGAATGGATCAAGAAGATGTGGTTTATCTATACCATGGAATACTACATGGCAATGAGAAACAATGAAATCTGGCCATGTGTAGCAACATGGATGGACCTTGAGGGTGTTATGCTGAGCGAAATAAGTCAGGCAGAGAAGGACAAATATCATATGTTTGCACGTATAGGAGGATTAGGAGGAACTTGACGGAGGAACAAGGGGGAGAAGAAGGGCGGAAATGGTGGGGGAAAGGGAGAGAGGCAAACCATGAGAGACTCTTGAATGCTGACAAAAACTGAGGACTGATGGATGTGGGGGGGAGGGGGGGATGGGCATGGAGGAGGGCACTTGTGGGGATGAGCACTGGGTGTTATGTGGAAACTAATTTGACAATAAACTATTTGTAAAAAAAAAATAATAATAATAATAATAATACCCCCTTCATGAAGATGCTGCGGAGGTTAAGTGAAACGAAGAAACACAGAGCACCTGGTACGGGGAGAGCCTGGCCCGAAAGCCCGGACCTCACTTTCCTTATCTGACTCGTGAACTGTTTGGCTACATCATCTGAATGATGTTCTGGCCTTCGTCCCATTGTATGTTTTGCTTCAATTTAAACTATAGGCACCAGGGCCAAGGACCCTCACAGAGCCCAGACAGGGTCTTAGGTCTTAGGAATTGCCTAACTCGTGACCACTGCCCCTTCCCTGTTCTCACCCCTGCTCTCCCACTCGGTGCAGGGGTGACTGGTGGAAGAGGCTGAAAGAGCTGCTGGCCTGCATCAGCCCCAGGCAGCCCGACCCTCAGAGGAACACCTGGGTCCAATTTAGGACCACACTTTGAGGTCCTAGGCCACCCTGTTTGCGTTCACTTTCTCCCCCAATAGCTGAGCAGAAGCAGCTAACTGGGGTCCCCGGAGCCAGATCTGGAAATCTGAGGGGTAAGCGGCTCCCACATCTCTTTGCACCTCAGTGCACAGGATGGGCCCTCATAGGTTCCGACCTTGGCTGGAACCCCTCATTGGAGAGTCTCTGTCCCCAAATCCCACAGCCTCCGTCCAGAGGCCAAGCGGTGCAGTCACTGCAGAGGCCAGAGCTGCTGGGAAGGCCATCCCCAGTCCACCTGACTCGACTTTCTCCCCACAACGGCAATGAACCACTCCCTTAGCCCGAAGCCACCCGAAACCCGGGAGTAGGCAGCCCGCCCCGTTTGGAGTTCCTACTCTTGGCTGCTAGAAACTGTCTTTGTTTCTAGTCTTACGGGAAAGAGCCTTCATTTAAACTGTTAACCGAAAAATGCAGGAACCAAAACTGTATGTATCACAAGACCTCCGGAGGGAAATCATACAGCACACACCCAAATGTTAACTGTCATGGCTTCCGGGTGATGAGTGATTTCCCCCTCTTCTGTTTTATACTTATCGGTACATTTCAAACTTTCTATGATAAGCATACCTGCAGGGAGGGGGACAAAAAAGGAGGGGGAAAAAAGGGGCAGAAGAGAAAAGAAAATGGACAGAAAGAGAAACGGAGGGCTAGAGGGAAGATGGGAAGAGAAATGTGTCAGCTGCTCAGGGGGTGGGGGGTGGGCATGTGGCCCTGCGGGTGAGGCCCCTCCTCCAAGCAGGCTTCCACATGGAAGGGCGTTACCTTTCATGACCTGGGCCTGGGATCTGGGCTCCCCCAGCAGGGAGGCCTCCAGGCCCGGGGCCTGCATCTTGGACAGCCTCTCCTTCATGCCGCTGATGTTGCCATGCAGCCCCCAGGCACTGCAGAGCTTGGGCAGACAGTCTTCCTGGTGGGCCAGCAAGGAGCTCTCGGGGGCGTCCCGGGGGCGGAAGGCCACCTGCAACAGGCCCATAATGTTGAGAGTGTGAAGAAGCCAGGGCCCCACATTCCTGAGCCCCAGCCCTGCCCTTGTTAGGAAATGAGTGCGGTCTGGGTGTACCTCACACCTGCCTAGTCAGCAGGAGGAAAGGGTCACAGACATGGGAGAGAAGTAAGGACACAGAGGCTAGGCTGCCAGCTGTCTCTTCTTGGGTGGTTCCTTACTTTGATATATGTCCTCCAACTCTTTTTATCATTATAGTCGCTTTTTCTGTTTGTTTCAAGCTTTATTTAAATTCTAGCTAGTCGGGTCTCCTGGATGGCTGGCTCAGTTTAAGTGTCTGACTTCGGCTCGGGTTATGATCTCACGGTTTGTGAGTCTGAGCCCTGCACTGGGCTCTTTGCTGTCAGCACAGAGCCTGCTTTGAATCCTCTCTCCCCCCATCTCTCTGCTTCCCCCTACCATAAATAAACATTAAAAAAATTTTTTAATAAATACATAAATTCTATTTAGTTAACATATAGTGTAGTATTAGTTTCAGGAGTAGAATTCAGTGATTCGTCACTTACATGTAAGACCCAGTACTCATCACAATAAAAGCCCTACTTATTGCCCATCCCCCATCTAGCCTGTCTCCCCACCCACCTCCCCTCCAACAACCCTCAATTTGTTCTCTATAGTTACGAACCTTAGGTTTGCCTCTCTCTCTCTCTCTTTTTTTTCTTTCCCACATGTCCATCTGTTTTTATTTTTTTAATGTTTGTTTATTTTTTAGAGAGAGAGAGAGAGACAGAGCATGAATGGGGGGAAGGGCAGAGGGAGAGGGAGACACAGAATCCCAAGCAGGCTCCAGGCTCTGAGCTGTCAGTACAGAGCCCGACTCAGGGCTTGAACTCACGAATCGGGAGATCATGACCTGAGCCGAAGCTGGACATTTAACTGACTGAGCCACCCAGGCTTCCCTCAACTGTTTTGTTTCTTAAATTCCACAAGTGAGGGGCACCTGGGTGGCTCAGTAGGTTGGGCATCCAACTTCGCCTCAGGTCATGATCTCCCAGCTCCTGAGTTCAAGCCTCGAGTCAGGCTCTGTGCTGACAGCTCAGAGCCTGGAGCCTGCTTCGGATTCTGTGTCTCCCTCTCTCTCTGCTCCTCCCTCACTATGTTCTATCTCACTCTCCTTCAAAAATAAATAAACATTATCATTTTTTAAGTTTACGTATTTATTTTGAGAGAGAGAGAAAGCATGAGCAGGGGAGGGACAAAGAAAGAGAGCGAGAGAGAGAATCCCAAGCAGGCCCTGCACTGTCAGCACAGAACCCAACACGGGGCTTGATCTAACAAACCGTGAGATCATGACCTGAGCCGAAATGAAGAGTCACATACTTAACTGACTGAGCCACCCAAGATGCCCCCCAAAGTAAATAACCATTAAAAAAATTCCACGAGTGAAATCAGATGGTATTTGTCTTTCTCTGATTGCCTTATTTCCCTTAGCATAATACAGTCTAGCTCCATCCATGTCATCACAAATGCAAGATTTTGTTCTTTTTTATGACTCAGTAATGTTCCATTGTATATATGTACCACATCTCCTTTATCCATTCATTAGTCACTGGACATTTGGACTTTTTACACAGTTTGGCTATTGTTGACAATGCTGCTATAAACATCGGGGTGCATGTGCCCCTTCAAATCTGTATTTTTTATTCTTTGGGAAAATACCTAGTAGTGCAATTCCTGGAACTTATGGCAATTCTATTTTTAACTTTTTGAGGAATCTTCACACTGTTTTCCTGAGTGGCTGCACCAGTTTGCATTCCCACCAGCAACGTAAGAGAGACCCTCTTTCTCTGCATCCTCACCAACATCTGTTGTTTCCTGTGTTGTTAATTTTAGCCATTCCTACCGGTGTGAGCTGATACCTCATTGTAGGTTTGATTTGTATTTCCCTGATGAATAGTGATGTGGAGCATCTTTTCAAGTGTCTGTTAGCCTAGAATTACAGCATCTCATGCATTTCTTTGTAATGAAGCAACGGTACTTATTTTAAAGTCCTTGACAAAATTAAAATTGAGAACCTGAAAACATCTTTTGAGATTTTCCTGGCCAGTGAAATCCAGGAATCACTGACATGGCAACTCTCTGTATTCAGAGGAGGAATCACTGAAACGACTGACCCGTTCATGTTTAGGGAAAGGAACAGAGACCCAAAAGGGGAAAGGATTTGGTTAAAGCTGCCCAGCAAGGGTGAGGTGCCATAGTTAGAGCAGGGCTTCCTCTGAACCAGATGTTTGAACCTGGATCTTCCCTCTACTTGCTGTGTGGTCTGGGTCAAGCTACTCCAACCCTCTGCACTTGGCATCTTCATTTACACACTGTGAACACTATGTCTAATTACCATGTAGGGTTACTTTTGAGAATCACAGGAGGGAACATAAAGTGCTGGAGCATAGAAGCTGTTACCTATGATCATTATTTTGAACAAAAGATCCTCAAAGTGTGCTCTGTGAACCCCTGGGGGGCCCTGAAATATTTTGATCTCACTGACCCCCTGAAAAGTGAAGTCTACCCAAAGTGCAAGAGATAAACCTACGGAATCTAATGTAACCCAGTGTGAAAAAGTCATTGATACAAATCTGAAAAGGCTACATGCTGTGTGATTCTAACCGTCTGACATTCTGGAAAAAAGTGAAACCATTGAGACAGTATAAAAGATCAGTGGTTGCCAGGAGTTTGGAGGGAAAGAGTGAAGGGATGAATACGTGCAGCACAGGGGATTGTAAGACAGCGAAACCATCAGGTATGCTCTGTATTGGTGGATACATGTCATTATGCAGTTGTCAAAACCTATAGAATATACAACACAATGAGTGGGCCCTCATGTAAACTAAACTAAACAGACATTGTTTAGTTAATAATGTGTCCATACTGGCTCACCGATGGTAACAAATATACCTCACTAATGCAAGATACTAATAATAAGGGAAACAAGAGGAGGTAGTATATGGGAAATATCTGAACTTTCTACCCAACTTTTTTGTAAACCTAAAACTGCTAAAAAAGAAAAAAAAGAAATATTTTATAACATTCATTGATATGGTGTCAGATTCCACACTGCTATTAAGTAACTGACATTTGTTGAGTTTTGGTGTGGTATCAAAGAAAAATATCCAGGGTTACCTGGGTGGCTCAGTCAGTTAAACGTCCAACTCTCGATATCAGTTCAGGTGGCAATCTCACTGTCATGAGATCGAGCCCCATGTTGGGCTCCTCACTGAGTGTGGAGTCTGCTTTCTCTGTCTCCCTCTGCTCCTCTACCTTGCTCACTCTCTCTCTCAAAATAAATAAAGTTTTGAAAATATCCACAACTATCTGAAGATGCTAATAAAATACTCCCCTCTTCTCTAACCCTACATCTGTGCAAGTCTGGGGTTTTCATCATGTACTTCAGCCAACTCACATACCATCAGAGATTGCAGAAGCAGATATGAGAACCCAGCTGAACTGTCTTCTATTAAGCCAGACACTAAAGACATTTGCAAAAATGTAAAACAATGCTACTCTTCTCACTAATTTTTTTTGTTTTGGAAAATATAAATATTTCTCATAAATATTATTTATGTTAAAATGTAGTGGGCTCTTGCTTTTATTTTTTTTTTAATGTTTTATTTATTTCTGAGAGAGAGAAAGAGACACACAGTGTGAGCAGGGGAGGGTCAGAGAGAGAGGGAGACACAGAATCCGAAGCAGGCTCCAGGCTCTGAGCTGGCTGTCAGCAAAGAGCCTGACGCGGGGCTCACACCCACGAACCATGAGATCATGGCCTGAGCCGAAGTCAGACGCTTAACTGACTGAGCCACCCAGGTGCCCCTCCTTGCTTTTATTTTTAATTGGATCAGAAAGTACTTATTTTGATTTTTTTCTTTAGTTGTAATTTCGAATGGGGCAAATTGCAACAGATATAACCTACATAAATGCTTGGTGGACTTTCCAACGGTTTTTAGAGGATGAACATGACCTGAGACCAAAATGTTCGAGAGTCACTGTTTTCAGCCAAAGCCAGGCCAGGCTCTGTCGATAGTCCTTGGAGCCTTCCCCAGGCTGGCTGTGCCTTTCTGCCTGGCGTCAACCGTCGCCACCCATATATGGGTCCTCAGGAAGGTCCCTGCCCTTGTTAACATCTGGGTGTCAGTGTGGAGAGTGAATGAGTATCGAGAACCTGAAGCTGAGCCTCTGTCCTCCTCGGCCCCACTTTGCCTCCTGCAGGGCAGATAGGGGCGATGGGGGCTTCCTGAGGCGGCGAGTGTGGAACATGGCTGGGAGGATGCTGGGGACATCAGAGGGACCCTCAGCCCTACGCCTCCCCCCACAATCCGAGAATACACCAGCCAAGCCTCAGCGGGGCCTGGAGAGGAGCTTCCCTGAGTGTCTCACCAGGAACTTGGCCGTCTGGTTGCTCTTGGTGTACTTGTAGAGCCTGCAAAGCTGTTTCGCCTCCAGTTCTGAGAAGAGAGAGACAAATCGCCAGAGCATCCTGCAGGGGAGAAAGCAAGGCTGGGGGAGGCAGCACACAGCCCTTCTCCCTTCCGCATTTGTCTTGTGTCCAGGACCCACCTGGGGAGAAATGGACCACATGCTGCCCCCTTGCACTTGGTTGGGGATGTGGAGAGGTGGAAATTTGCTAGACCTTGAATACCCCATCCTGGTGATGGGCACCCGCACCACACAGCAGCTGTTCAATCAGCCGTCATTCTCCACAGAGCCAGGAGAGTCCTTTGTCCACTGTGTATGCGGCTGCCGGGAATCATTGCTGCCCTGAGTCACTAGACGACCCCATTCTCTCCACCCCCTCTTCACCACGCTCACTCCAGGATCCTGACTCTTTCACACCAAGATGAAGGAATGAAGGACTCAGGGATCTTGACTGAGGTGGGACCTTGAATCAGGGGCGGGGAAGGTGTGTGGCCCAGGAGTGGGTATAGTGGGAAGGGCAAGGAGGCTGCCCTACTTCCTCCAGTGCTTGATTTCCCAGGTTCGGCAGTAATGTTGCAGAAAGGTGTTGATGTGGTCCCCTAGGACCACCAGGCTCTGCTTCATGTACTTCAGCTTCTTCTTCTGCGGAATGTCCCTGGGCAGGTGTAACTTTCGCAAGAACTTCTTCAGTGGCCTTAGATATTCTTTACACTGAGGAGGCAACAGGTCAAGTCATAGGAGAAAAAGGCAGATGGGCAGCCCCAAGTAACCAGAAGCCCTTATGAGCCAGGAAGTGTTAAGTAGGTTAAGTAAGGAAACTTGAGTCAAGTTCTTGCCCCACTTTCCTCCCAAGAGCATGACAAGTGGGACAATAAGCTATGGTTCTGAGGCCTGCCAATTTCTGACCCAGGTCTCCTGACCTGTAGGGAACAAGACACAGGGTCCTGGGCTGGCCCCTTACTCACAATTTTGAAGGTGTCCTGGCCCAGGCCCTTGGCATGGCGTACAAGTGAGTCTCCAGAAGGGGTGGTGCCAGAGCTCTTCTCTAAGCAGGGTACACCTGTCGCCAGGTCATCTGTCACCTGCAGGAGGCAGAGGTCAGCTGGGGAGCTTAGGCGGCTGCTCCTGAAGGGCAGTGCTAGGCAACCAGTGGTCCAAATTCCAGCCAAAGCCCTTCTCCATTTTCCGTAGGGATTCCCTTGGCCCAGGCCTGAAGGAAGTAAGCCCTAGCAAGGATATCCATCCCTGAAGATCCTTGCTTAGGAGACCTAGAATTTCCTACACATTTCTTTTATAAGAATTATAGCACAGAATAGGAGCTAATTTTACAAGTCACTTGATAAACGTGAACTCATTTTATTCTCCCACAAATTCTGTGAGGTTAGATATCATTATCTCTGGTTACAGATGAGAACACTGTGAGGCATCAAGAAATTTAAGAAACTTCTTGGGGGAATGAGCGGGGAGTCATTTATTCATTCATTCAAACAAACATTTACTGAGTGCCTAAGCCCCAGGCCCACCTCTAACCTTTAGCATCATCCCATGATAACGGGCACATCACGTGACAGTGACGGTAATGGGGAGGAGCTTTCTGACTGTGAAAGTGGGCCCCCCAAAAACTGAAAAGTAATGAAGACAGAGTGACCGTGAAATAATACTTAAAGTCAGAGCACAGGATTAGACTGACATGGTAGGATTTGCACCTGACCTTTCAAAAACCTCTCAGAAAAGGGAGCATTAATTCCTGCCTGTGTTCAGGGGAACAAGGAAGATCCAGGCCCTGACCACTCTGAAGGGAGGGACCATGGAAAGGGAAGAAAGTCAAAGTATGTAACTCAGGCTCCTTCAGGCCCCAGAGAGAGGGGGCTCTGGCTGATCGACTCCATAAACACACCCCTCACACCACACAACCACACACACAGACCATAACGCAAGTGTACACACACACACACACACGAGCCCTTGCGTTTCCATAACCAACAATCATCTTGCCAGGAAAACATGTCTTTGATAAGCCTGTGTTTGAATGAATTGGCCTTCTTTTGTTCTTTTGGTCTCTTGCTAACTCATGTACATCACCGTTTTTCCTTCTTCTTTCCTTCCCTTAATTTCACGTTCTTTGCTTTCCAAGACTAGCCCCTCAAGGACCTTCTCTCTTCACTCCCTCACATCCCTAGCCCCACTTCACCTTCTTTAGGGACTTGTCCCCTTCACCCTCTTGCCCATTTGAGGCCTCCGTCTCAACAGGCGCACTGGGGGGCTCCAGAGTGGCACTCCTGATGTCTCCTCAGGCTTCTGACCTACGGCTGCGGTGACCTGAGTGTCTCAGGGAGTGGGCAGGTGGGCTCCAGAACTTGGAGCAAAACCATGGCAACTGCCAACACAGAGCCTAGCTCCCCTCCCCCTGCCACGCCCTCTTTCTTAGGGGTGGCCCATCAATCTCTTCACCGGGAAACTGGAACAGGGAAGTGAGCAAGAGGTGCGGGGTAGACCCAGCACTTTGTAAGAGCTCGTAGCCGGCCAGGAGGGGCTGGCACCCCTTTTCCCGGGAGAAGTGTCAGATGCTAGGGTTTGTGAACACCGGTAAGACTTTCGGAGTCGTTTTCCTGCTTGTGTACCATTCACGATGCCTCAGTCACACGGTGGGCTCCTGAGATGGCCACCGTGACTTGTAACATTTCTTTCTGGAACTGAGACAAAGGACTAAAGGGTGACCTGAGAGAATGGGTTACAGTAAATCTCTACTGAGATCGATCTTCTCTTCTATTTCTCTGTAGCCTCCAGGAAGTTAATAAGCCAGTTGTGTCGGGTGTTGGTTGAATAGTGGTATTTTTAGGGAGTGTGCAAAAAATCACAAGCCACCATGAATTATCTTAACTAATCCTCACACTGATCTTCACAACTGTCTTCTCTGATGGGGTACCATCAGTGATCCCCTTTCATAGAAAAGGAGCCCAGACGCAGAGAGGTCCCGTGACTTGCACGGGTCGGCGGCCACTAAAGTGGGGCGAGGGGCTTTCTGTCCGATCCCAACCGCTCTAGCCTTGCCCACCGACACCGCCCTCCAGCGATCGGAGCCAGGAGAGTGCGTGCTACCGGCGGGGTCCCTGCGTCTCCCCCGCCCGTTCAGCCCGTGAGTTCTCGGAGGCTCGAAGTCCGAGCTGCGACCTCCACCAGCACGCACCGCGGGGTACGGCGCCGAGGGGACCGCTGCAGCCTCCGTTCACACAGCCGGCATCTTCTTCCCTGCGATGCTTAAGTCTCCAGCCACGTCCCCTCATGTCCTCTGGGCCCGGGGGCCCGTCTCCCGCAGCCAGTCCGTACTTCCCGCTTCCTCCCCAGTCTTCGCCGGAGCGGGGTCGGGTCGCCGTGGGCCACGGAGACCGGCTAGTATTCCCCTCCCTCCAGACGCCGCGGGGTCCTCCCAGTCCTCCCTCTCGCCATCTGGCGGCGGTACCTGCACATGACAGGGACATTGCGGCTTCTGATATTCCTCGGGGAATGTGGCTCTCCTCCAAACTGGAAAGTGTGTTCTTTGAGCATTAATCCAGGACTATTTTGCGGCTATTAAGGAAAATTAGGGGAGGCTGGGGGTCGGACTTCGGCTCAGGTCATGATCTCACAGCTCCTGACAGCTGTGGGCTCTGTGCTGACAGCTCAGAGCCTGGAGCCTGCTTCGGATTCTATGGCTCCCTCTCTCTCTCTCTCAAATATAAAATAAAACATGAAAATGGACTTTAAAAAAGAAGGAAATTATATTTGCAAGAGTAAGGGGAAAGGGGCTCTCTTATTCACTTCTGGGAATAATGCAAAATGTTAAATGTACATTCCCTTTGGCCCACAAATTCTTCTTCTAGGAATTGATCCTGAGAGAAGATGTATGTATGAAGGCTGTTAAATTTGGAAACAATTGAAGTGTCATCAGTAGGAAAGGGTAAATAAATTATGGAACACCAGTACTTAAAATATTACTCTAGTAAATAGTAAATAAAATTAATTTTTAAAATGCCTTACCACCAAAATACTACTAATTATTAAAATATTATTCTCTATATAGTAATAATTAATACTGAAAAATGTAAATTTCAACGTTACATCTATATTTAACTAATGGGAAACAAGACCTAAAACAGCATGTCTGGTATGATCCCGTTTTTGAAAGCATGTAATTATATATGCATAGTAAAAAGTCTTGAAGGATACACTTCAAAATGTAAAGGATGATTTTTCTTTTTTTGGCATACTGTCTTCATTTTAAAAATAATGAATATGATTTACACTTACAGTAAAAAAAAAGGAGAGCTGAGTCTGTTTTTAAAAGGAATAAATAACATCATTAAAAAAGTGATATAATGCTAAGTTTAAACACAGAACACAAAAGAGTATTACATTCTAACTCCTCCTTAGATAAATTGACATGAATATGGACCAAGACTAGACAAAAACAGTAAAAAAACAAAAACAAAAAACAAGGAATTGAATATCGATATAGATATTATATATCTATTCTTCCCCCTGCCCCAAATAGTATTTACAATCCAGAAGGGGGAAGTAAGTCCGAACCTCAAAGCTTATGAGTCCCTGCCTGCTCCTCTCACCCCACTCCACTTCTCCTCTTCCCTCTCAGAACCTCTAACAAGTCCTAGACTCTGGACGCCTGCCCTAGACCCATAATGGTTTTATTATCAACCTTAAGGAGTAGTCTGAAGAGACCACGGAGCCTGACATTAGCCAGGAATAATGGCTCAATCCTCAACATTAACTAAAACAAAATACAAAATGCCTTTGGGAGACAGTCTTCAAAATCCAACTGGTTAGCTGAAAATGACTATAGGGCAAATCAACTCATTGAACTGAGTTATTCCTCCAGCAGTTAATTTTTAAAACTCTATGTGCTGTCTGCTTCAGGCAGGTGGGGATAGGGTGGAGAAGGTGGGGGTGAGGATGTTAATTTGTTTACCCTCTACTCCACGCAGGCTGGCATGTTTCTTCATGTTATGGGCCAGTTTCATAAACATCACATCTCACTCCTAGCCTCTAGTGACAAGATAGAGCTCATGAAATTCTTGAATTCAGCAGACAGGGAGAACGACTCTTGAAATCCACTTCCCATGCTTCCTCTCATAGACTTGAATATCTTTCTTCAAATGAGGCTTCTTGATCTTGTTCTGAATTGTCTGATTATCCAATTAGAATTGTATCAAGTCTCCAAAAAAGGAAGACCACTCAAACTTCCATTGTAGCTGAAATACTGGGTCTGGAGGAAATGTGAAAGCTCCCAGCTGAAGGCCAAGGCATCCCTAACCCAAGGCTGCGAAGGACTCTTTCAGTACCTAAGGCAGAGTCTCTTCACATGGGGTCCACTGATAGACTTGAGGGAGTTAACAAACCCTTTGGAATTCTAACTAGCAAGTTATATGTGAGATCTGATAGCCTTCATCACGTAATCCAAGAGGTCGGTAGCCCTAAACAAGTTAAGAACCAATGATCCAAGAGGTCTAACCTAAGGGTGTACACCTTCTCAGCGGTGGTTTTTCAGATGGGTCTTTAAATCTGAGTTTGTTTTTTTTTAATTTTTTTAATGTTTTATTTATTTCTAGGAGAGAGAGAGAGAGAGAGAGAGAGAGACAGCATGAGCAGGGGAGGGTCAGAGAGAGAGGGAGTCACAGACGGAAACAGGCTCCAGGCTCTGAGCTGGCAGTCAGCACAGAGCCCAACGCGAGGCTCGAACCCCCGAACTGTGAGATCATGACCTAAGCGAAAGTCGGACGCTTAACTGACTAACACACCCAGGCGCCCCTAAATCTGAGTTCTTGGAAGCCCTCAAATGTGAGAAATGCCAGATATACAGCTACTCTGGAGAGAAACAGGTTAAAGGAAGAGGGTAAGGGGGTTATAGGCCTAACTATAACCGTATTCCAGACCTAAACAAAGAAACCAGTGACAAAGAAGGCCAGTAAGATCCTTGACTGTGCCCAGTAAAGCTGAAGTACTGCATCCCCTGCCAACAGCGCATCCCTCATCAGTGGGAATGAAGCTCCTCCTGCACCAGTCCCAGGGTGAGAGCCAGTGACAGCTCTCGGTGCGGCCTGTCGGTGTGGCACCTTTCCCTCTCACCCCAGCAGGACGTAGGCATATCTCTGCATGCTGGTCAGAGCATCTCTTCATCTCTCTGCTCAAAATAGTTCTCAAAAATATTTGGTACTTTTTTCTTCACTCCTATCTGATGTTTACTGTAGTTTTCCATTTATGGAGCCCTGGAGCCCTGGTTTAATTTCACTTTTTTTTTTTTTTTGTAGCAATGTTTTAATTTGGGTTTTATGTACTCTAAAAATATCTTGTCAGGATATCAAAATAACATCACAGAATGGCAAACTCATAACTTCAGGACATGTTTCTAAACAATTTAATGATAAGCAAGCTTTTTGAGATAGTGTTAAATTGCTGGGCCTAATGATTTCCACTTGCCTCTCTCTGGAAGGTGTTTTTTCCTAAGATGGGAAGCAGGGAGACAGGCAGGAGAGAATTATATAGTCAACAAATATTGGAGTTGGGAAGGATTTTGGAGAGAAAAAAAATGCCACCCCCAAATTTGTTACAAGTCATGCAAGTTCTCCCCAAAAGACTTACTCTCACCTCCTCTCCTTCACGACACCACAGTCATACCCCCCTTCCCTTGGCCTAGATCTGGTGGTACTGGGGGTTAGTATCAGGTAAAATTCCAATGAGAAAAGTCACCTCATCTCAGACTTTCAGAATCTTCTAAGAAGGCCTAAGAACCAATATTTTAATAGGTCCCAGATAATTCTTATCATCAGGCAAATTTGGAAGAGACTATGTGGTGAGGTGAATTCCAAATTGGGCAAATTATGGATTTTCCAGTGTTGTGCCAGAGCTGGCTCTAACAGGCTCATGAAAGCAGATTATTAAATTTTCAGGAAATTTGCCAGTTGTTTGTTAAACAAAGACATTATTAAGTAATGTTGAAAGCGGGGGACTCAAATACATACTTGTACACTAGTGTTCATAGTACCATTATTCACAATAGCCAAAAGGTGGATACAACCCAAATGTTCATCAACACATGAATGGATAAACAAAATGTGGCATATACATGCAATAGAATTTTATTCAGCCGTAAAAAGGAATGAGATTGTTATCTGTGCTGCAGCATGGGTGACTCTTGCAAACATTATGCTGAATGAAATAAGCCGGATACAAAAGAACAAAGACTGTATGATTCCACTTATATTAAATATCTAGCACAGGAAAATTCAGAGAGACCGAAGTAGAACAGAAGTTACCAGCATCTGGGAGGAAGGAAGAATTACAGAGTGTCTGTTTGGGATGATAAAAAAAAGTTCTGAAGAAGGGGGGAAATAGTGGGGGAAAAGGAGGGAGGCAAACTACGAGAGACTCTTGAATGCTGAGAACAAACTGAGGGCTGATGGGGGTGGGGGGGGGGGGAAGGTGGGTGATGGGCACGGAGGAGGGCACTTATGAGGATGAGCACTGGGTGTTGTATGGAAACCAACTTGACAATAAACTATTTAAAAAAGAAGTTCTGGACATAAACAGTGGCAGTAGTTATAAAACATTGTGAGTGTACTTAATGCCACTAAACTGTGCACTTAACGAAGGCTAAAATGATAAATTTTATGTTATGTATAAGACAGTAAAAAAGTTAATTCTGTAAAAGTAAATATCAACTTAAAAATTACATCAAAACAAAATAATACTTAATACCCTTCCTAATTATTTTTCAATATTTAACAGTTATCTTTGCCCTTGAGGTTATTTGTATAGTACAACTATTATATAATCGTATACTGATGAACATTTCTTCCCAACTGCATACCCAGTGATGTTACATCGGTCACTGGATGTTGGCCATAGTGGGAATATTTACACAAGAGAAATGAAAACCACTACAAATCAGGGTCCTCTCCTCCCCACCAAACTGTTAACCATTTGCCCGCACACCACTCTTTCCAAACCATAACTTCCTCAATGGCAAAGAGTAAATAACAAAACATCACATACAGTTTTCTCTGAGGATTAAAGATACTTCAATGATGGAGGTTAACTAAAACTATTGTGAGGATCATTTTACAATATATACATATATCAATTCATTATGTTGTACATTTTCAGTTAATACAATGTTATATGTCAATTAAGAATTAAAAATTGTTGGGGCACCTGGGTGGCTCAGTTGGTAACGCATCCTACTTCGTCTCAGGTCGTGATCTCACAGTTGGTGGATTCAAGCCCCGCATCTGGCTCTGTGCTGACAGCGTAGAGCCTGAAGCCTACTTTGGATTCTTTGTCTCCCTCTCTCTCTCTGATACTCCTCTGCTTGTGCTCTGTCTCTCAAAAATGAATAAATGTTAAAACATTTTAAAAAAAGAATTAAAAATTAAAAATTGTCTTCAATATTTTTCAGGTGAAAGGGCCCGTTAGCGTTCCTTTCCCC